GGAGTTGAACGCCTGTTTAACTGTGAAGGAAATTTCCTAAATACTTAACCTTTTTCTGTTTATACCGCGCATTTTGTGCTAGGCTAAGAACTTTCCGAACTGCCCTCGTATTTAGCTATTAACGTAATCCTCCGAATTAGAGAGCCCGTTGCGATATATGTCTCAAATATATCTGAAATATTTGATTAGAAACATCGAGTTAGGTAGCTTCATATTCTTATCAACAATATTCAGCATTAAAGGTAGTCCTACAAATTCGCGAGCTCGTAGCGGTATAGGTATTTAAGTCTCAGGTGGACGAGTTTAGCAAGTTCTATATACTCCAGTAAGTCGATTATTTTCCTAAAAGAGAATGTTCATATTTATCTGAAATATTCGATTAGTAAACATCGAATTCAGTACATTCCCTGATTCGGTTTGGTTTTCCAAAATTCAACACAAACACAGCTGAAAGCTTTCCAAAAGTCCCGAATAACAGTGTTCTTTATTTGATATCGCTTATAACGAAGAATTTCGTTGGTCCTTTCACCAATTTTAATTTAATTTCAAGTAAGTAATTGATATTAATAATTCGTTCGTATTCTAAATCGGATTTTTGCATGCATTAAAAAATCAAGAAATTTAAAATGGTTTATAAAAAGTCTTGAAAATTATTGCCTCAAAAAAAGATTAGAAAAAACTAGAATGTATCGTAACAAATTGTTCTCCATTGGCCTTGCAAATAAAAATTTTAAAAGTAGTGTTAAAAAATAAAAAATATCACCTTGTTTTGTTTTCTTTTTGTAAATGTATTTTTTTTTGTTTTTATAATTTTTATTTTAAAATTAGAAAAAATACACATGTTTATGTATATGTATATATTTCACAAATTATAATCATGGTAAGCTTACTTTTTATAAAATTTATATTTTTTTAAATAAACAGAAAAAAATTTACAAAATTTAAATAAAAAAATAAAAATCATTTTATTTTGAATAATAATTTCATTGTTGGGTTTTTTCGTTTTCAAAATATTTTTATTAAGTTTTTGTTTTATTTTTTATAATGTCTTATAGTATTGTTTCTAAAATTATTTATAATAATTGTATAAATTATAAAAAAAACAGTAAGTTTGGTTGTTTGCTGTTTTAAAAGTTAATTTAGAGCGTAGGGGTGCTGTAAATAATTATTCACAATTTTTTTTGGAGTTCAGTTAATAATGGCAATACTGAAACTATAAAAAAAACTTTATATTATAAAGTTAAATGGAAATTTTGATACGAAATCATAAGGTATGTTATATTATATCTGTTTTTATAAAATGTTTGATTTTAAGTACATTGTATAACGGATTTTGTTTTTTTTTTTTAATTTATTTCCATTTCAAAATCAATTTTTTGTTCTTTAATTTAAATTTAAGGCAATTTTGGGTTTCATTATCAAAAAGGTAATAAAAACATTTATATATAAAAATATAAAATAAAAAAATAATGAAATACAAACATAGAAATTACTTTCTTAAATAATACAATTAGGAAACACAATTTGCTTGAAATAATTTATTAAATAATAATTTTTATGCAACATTAAATAGAAATTACACATTTAAAAATTGAATAAATAATTTAAAAATGTTTAACAAAGAAATATATATAAAATTTAAATAAAAATCAAAATATGTATTAAAATTAAATAAATTAAATTGAAATCGAAAACAATAAATAAATATAAATAACATCCAAATTTAATATTCGAATTCCGCTTTGTTGTCATGAATTGATTTGATTTAAACAAAATTTAAGTATTCCTCATCCCCTGATGAAGAAATGGAAAATTGTTTTGTTGGTTTTACCCAGAGAGATTTTTCTTCTTTTAATTTTTATTTTTAAAATACAATTATTTTATAAATAAGATTTATTAACAAAAGAATATAATTTTTTAAAAATGATATTACGAGAATAAGTAGATAAAATATAATAACTTTTCAGAATTTGACCGAAATATTGTTAGTTTCCTAAGAATGATGTTGATAGATTTGTTGTTATTTTAAAGGAACTGTGACATCAAATGAAAAAAAATTTAAATTCTATTTAAAAGTTGCCAGGCCTATATAAATAAAAAAGATAAATGACCAGAAAAAATATTTTTTTTGGAAATTGATCGAAACAATGCTAATTTTCTTTAGTAATGTTGTCAGTTTTAATATTTTTAAAGAATTCGTTGGTAATGAGAACATTTTTGAATTCTTTTTAACATATATCAGACATATAAAGACGAAAATTTTAATCGGCTAGAGACGAATGCAACCATTTAAAGAGAAGAAGAATGAACAATTTTTGATTAACATATCGACCAAAGGTCAAATAAACGTTCCATTTGCTTGAGAATTTTTCTTTTGACTTACAAAGAAAATAATTTTTGTGTTTCTAACACCCTAGCGAATTTGGAAACATTATTCTTCCTTCTAATCGATTGCAAAATTTAATTAAGAATTTGTATAATAGAAACATTTAAATATCCACATTTTAAATGTATCCTTAAACAGTATATATTTGGGCTGTTACAGAACCTGTAAAATATCTTGTGTTTAAATTGAATGACGATATCTTTTAATACGATGTAAATATTATCTGAAATTTAAATATAAGAAAAGGCTTACTATATTCCATCTAGAGCAGAGTAACTTAATTCCCAAACGTTACCTATTAAGAATATAGATTTTTTAATTCCAAAATACTTGTATGAAAAGGTTACAGATATATTATAAATGACATATAATGCAGAGTGGTTAAAAGCCTATGGGAAAACATATGAAGAGTACAACCCATAAGGAAACCTATTAATAAACCAGAATCTTCTCCAATATTTTCAATAATAACCCTAATTTAAGTTTTATTTTTTCAATAATATTTCGGGGATTGATAAATTTGTTGGAATATTTTTAAGAGATAAATAATGAAATATTTGTTGTTGAGGTGTTAATACAACTTTCGATTTAAAATTTAAAAATATAATATCATATATGAAATGACATCTACGGTAGATTGGCTTATGTCAATTGGTAACACATGTAAAAAAGACATTTCAAAAGGTAAAATATGAATGCAACAGAATCTGCTCAATAAGACAAGTTTTTTAAATAAAAAATAATTATGGGGATAGGAAACTATTTCAATCAATTTGTAGGTCGTATTACACAGAAATATAGGTTGTTGATATTTGATAGCCACGTTTTAGCGCAAGGCCTAGTAGCCACAGCTTAATTAAATTTAATGTTCAATAAAAAAAACACTTTTGATTTGAACTAAATAATAAGAACTCGATGACATTCCCAAATTTTTAAAAACGTCACTATTTATACTTTTAACCCAAATTTGTTTGTTTATTTTTAAATCATTTTTCTAAAGGGAAAGAGTAAAATTTGTTTTTTTTTTCAATTTTTCAAAACGTAAACGTTCTATTTATTTTTTTGATGTTTGAAACCTGTTTATTGAATGTTTTCATTTTCTATTTGCTAATATTCGGTGGCACTATGTTTAATTGGAGTTTTTGTTTTCTTAAATTTAGAATTTGTTTAACTAAACAAAAAGAAAATATTGGTACAACGTTTTTTTACAAAATATTAATGTAAAGGGATGGATTGAATACAAAATCATACGGTATTGTAAATTATATTGAATGTAGTATGTAAAATAAAAAAAATATATATTGTTTTGTATATAATACAATTAATGGATACTGTCAATTAAAAAAAAAAACACAATTGTATGTCATGATGTTTGTTAATATTTTTACAAATATGTTGTTGTTTAAATTATATACGTTTTTGTTTGTTTTTTCTTTTTTTATTATTTATAAAATATTGGCAATGGAATGTTGTTGTAATGAAAAATCAGAGTGTCGGCTTTTTGTTTTGCTTTTTTTAAGTATAAAATCTTTCTACTCTAAGTTAACTTTTAAAACAACAAACGGGGTTTTTTCTTCCGTGTTTCGGTTTGCGTTTTACTCTTTTTATTTTTGTTTTGTATTTGTTTGTTTCTTTTTTGTTTTAAATCTTATTTTAAGTGTTTTTTGTTTGTTTTATATAAGTATAAGAGAAAATATAATAAAATTAACTTATATTTCTTTTTTTGCATAACTATATATTATAGAAAATAATAAACTAAATAGTATTAGTTCTTATAATATATATAAAAAAAGAAACCCCAAAAATAAAGTTTATAATTTTTTTAATAATTATGTTTTTTTAAGAAAATAAAAAATTATTTATATATATAAAACTGAAATAAACAACTCAACATTACTGAGTTAGGCGTATATACAAAAAGTAGCAATGAGCCAAAGTGATTTTAGTACCCTATAAACCTGTCCACAGATGTTACGTTTTTTTCAAAATCTCAGGGAATATTTAAGATTGTATAACCAGAAAATTTCTAAAATGATCAAACATTTATCGTTTGTATAGGTGACAAATATTTACACATCCAATACAGATAAATGTTTGTCAAATTAAAAAGGTTAATATTTTGTGAACAGGATATATAAATTCCTCAATATTTTGCTAGACATTGAATGCTTGATTGATAGAAATTTGAGTTTGAATTCGAAAGATTGGATACACATTTAACCCCCTCTTAGTCATCAAATCAATTTTCTTTCAATGAAATTTCCGAAGTCTAACAATAGTGCAACACAATTTCCTATAAGGGACTTATACTACAACAAGATAGCATATTTCAATTTCTATTTTCAATATTATAAATCTATGTGACAAACACCACAAATTTATATATCCAAAATTACATGAAACTGAGTTAACAAAAACAGAAGTAAAATTTTAAGCTTCATGAAATTTATACAAGATGTATTTGAGGCATAAGCAGATTGATTTATAATATTTTCAATATCAATTGAAATATGAAGATCCTGTTGAGATATTTTTTTTCGCTACATTGTCCTACCTTTTGTCCTAACTCAACATCAACAACAAAGCAACAATTTCTTTACTCGATTAATTTCATTTTGTGGCATTTTTTTCTTAATTTCAAAATTTGTTTCTTTTTCCTTTTTTCATTTTTTCAAATGTTAATGTAGATGTATGCGGGTGTGTGTGTCTATGTGATTAAATGTATTTATGTATAATAAGGTTGTTGGTTTAATATGTCTATTGCAAAATGTCTTGTATATTAAAATTATCATTATCTAGTGAATTGATTAAATCTTGTGTTGAGAAATTACCACCATCAACGGGTAAATTATCTAAAAATTCGAGACACAAATCATTCGAGTTGCCAACCACCGAATTAATGCCTTGATTCATGCTATTGGCGCTGTTCGCTGTGGCCACCACACTGGAGACGGATGATACTGTGGCAGATGTTGAAGAGAGTACATTGTTACCGTTGGGACCGCCCGGTCCAATACCGGGACCGTTGGGACCACCCGGTCCGCCGCCACCACCACCAGCACCGTTGGGACCACCCGGTCCACCGCCGCCGCCTTGTGACATTTGTAGCATTTGTTGCTGTTGATGTGTGGCGGTGGTGGTTTGTTGGACAAATTGCTGTTGTTGCTGTTGCATGCTAATTTGCGTTTGTGACATATGCATGCTGGTCATTTGCATCTGGGTCATCATGCCACCGCCAGGACCACCGGGACCGCCCTGCTGCTGCATGGATTGCTGTTGCATCATTTGTTGCATTTGCATGGCATTCGGACCGCCGCCCATCATTTGTTGATTTTGCATTTGCTGCTGACGCATCATTTGCTGTTGCATTTGAGCGGGTGTTAGTTGCATGCCGGGATTGGGGCCGCCCATACCGCCAGCACCGCCGTTGGGACCATTGGGCATAGGGCCACCGCCCGCACTACCCATGAATCCTAAAAAGGAAGAGATTTTTCATTTAAAAATCAATTAAAAAATAGATTCTTTTTTCAAACTTACCACCATTGAAACCTCCCGCTCCTTGTCGCATTGGTCCTCCGGGGCCGGGACCACCTGAGAAACCCATTTGTTGTTGTTGCATCATCATGTGTCGCCATTCTTGTTGTGAACCCACAGGCATACCATCCGGCGAGACTTGTACATTAGGTGGCCGTTGAGGACCTCCAGGTCCCATTGGACCACCATAAGGACCCATGGCAGAACGTGGTCCTCCAGCGGAATGTTGCATATACATAGAGTGTTGAGGACGCATCATGGGACCTAAAAAAACATACACATAAGTTTATTAGGAATGATATATCAATGATATATGTGAAAGGTATTCGGGAGGGGTAAAATAATGAGGAATGCTATTTATATTTTGAGACCAGAAATTAATAAAGCGAAGCACCTATTACGCCCCCAGTAAGACACCTTTTTTAATGGAGGCAATTGACCAAACAATATTTAATGTGAGGGACAAAATACAAGTTCGTATGGCTAAAATCTGTCAGGAATATTTGAACCCGTCAGAAATGCTAAAGGAATAGGACACCTTCTGTTTTTGATAGAGATAAGGGATCACTCAATGTTTTTTTATGTGAGAGAAAAATATACGGTTTCAAGCACATAGAAGGTTTTCAGGTGCTCAAATCCTGCCATATCCAATATAATATTTTCAGTTCAGCTCAATTGGTGACATGTTTGGTCATTAAAGTCTTTGAACATCTCTGTATGTCGTATCGTTCTATGCTCGGCACGTCGCACTATGCAGACAGTCCCACTACATTTTAGGTGCGTTCTTCACTATTTTACTCCGATGGGCACGATGCTTCATTAAATTCTGAATACCACTTCCACCGGGCATAAAACGTCGAAATCGGAAATGCGGATACAAAATACAAATAGCAACTCTAGCTACAATAAATAAATTAAATTCTACTCACCCGATGGCGGTATTGGTTGCTGTGTCATTCGTCGCATTGCCGCCGCCTGCGCTGCCGCATTCGGGAAACGTCCACCACCTCCCACCGTCTGCTGCATCATCTGTGCCTGCATTAGCTGCGCCTGTGTCGCCTTATATTCCGGTGGCGGTGGTCTTGCACCACCCATACCATGCTGTTGCATAGCTTGAGCACGCATCATTTGTTGTTGTTGCAGGAATTTAGCTTGATTCATATTCATTGGTGGACCATTGGGACCGCCTGGACCCATCATCATGGCCGGATTGGGACCAGCATTTGGATTCATACCGCCTGCCGACATCATTTGACCCGGTCCACCGGCACCGCCCATACCACCAGGGCCCATGCCGCCCATCGGACCATTAGGACCACCCATTACGGGCACATTTGGACCCGGCCCATTGGGACCATTACCTCCGGGGCCACCCATCGAATTCATTGGTCCGCCACTATTAGGTCCTGGACCCACATTCGGACCACCCCCTGGAACTTGAGGATTATTCATAAGGCCTGGCCCAACATTGGGACCACCATTTGGCCCTGCCGTCGCCACATTAGGACCTCCTGGTCCACTATTGCCTGGACCTCCTGACGCTGCTGGATTTTGGTTTTGATTTTGTCGCTGTCTCATATTTGGCGGTACTTGTTGTTGTTGCTGCTGCTGGGGTCCTCCGCCAGCTGTTGCAGGATTTTGTGATTGTTGTTGGGAGAAGTTCATGGACTGTGTTTGTGACATGCTAAAGCCACCATCGGAAGCACCTGAAAAAAAAACAATCATCGTGAAAATAAATGACAGCCTTTCTCATTGGCAGTTAATTGAATTATTGTGCCGTTATTTCTCAACACGCTCTAATCCAATTTGATACTCTCAGCTGAGCTTGCTGAGCTGTGCTGAGTGTTAATTTGATGGCACTTACCGTTATTATTGTTAATATTTTGATTTGGTTGTTGTTGCTGCTGCTGTTGTTGTTGAGGTTGCTGTTGGCCATTGGGACCACCGGCATTGCTGCCAGGCGTTTGCTGTTGCTGAGTATTTTGAGTATTTTGTTGCTGTTGTTGTTGCTGCTGCTGCTGTTGATTGAAGAACACTCCCTGTTGCGTAGCCACCGACACATTACTTTTCATATCACCGCTGAGATGTAAATGTTGTCCAGCAGAGACCTGAAACATACAAACAAACGCACAAACACAAAGAACATTAAAATATTGTTAAATTTCTCGTTTGAAAATGACTTAATTAAGATAATGGTTAAAAAGAGTGCGCGCGAGTGTGTGCGTGTTTTATAAATTACATTTGTTGGTTTACTCTCTGTCTTCCTCTCAGCCACATTTTCAAGCTGTGTAAAATAAGCCCAATTAAAGAGCTTGTATTGTTACTATGATATTTAAAGAAAAAATAAAGCATATTTTTTGGGATATTAAGAATAATCATTTAAATATAGTTTGAGGCGGTAGATAAAAATGTTAATAGCTTAGTTTTGAAATTAATTATATCTAAATAATCTAAAAACGTTATAATTCTCAATAAAACGAAAATTTAATTAAATACATTTCTTTTTGATAACTTTTCACCAAATATTTTCAAACGTTGTAGATTTCAAATATTTTCCCAAATATTTTTTAATGCTATTAAATGTCATAATGATAATTAAATATTAAGGAACTTTGAACATATCTTCTTAAAATTAAAAATAAAATTATTATAGTATTTATAGAACTTAATTTTAATTTTGATTATAAAAATATGTTGAATTATATTAGCCAAGAAATATTCATTAGAAATATTTGATAATTATGTCATAAATTGCCCCAATAACGAACCTTTTAAACTAAATTCCAATAAATATTTAACAAGATAACTAATTTCTGAATATTTCCCATTTCTTCTTTGTCAATCAAACTGTTGTCGATTGGTGTATTATAAAGGGGGGCAAAAATTCAACGAGGCCATAAAAGAATATTTGTTGTAGATCACAATAAAAACACAATAATTTCAATATTCATTTTTTTATTTCTCTATATAATTTTTTGTTTGGTTTGCCCTCCTTAATACTAGACAATTGTATGGCTTTACATGTTAAGCCTTAACATATACATTTGTATTCGCAGTTTTACATAGTTATTACAATCGCTCACTCACTCGCACACACACCTACACATACACTCTCACTCGCTCATAAAAGTATGCTACAAAATAATCTTGTTAACGCTATCAAATTGTACAAAGTACTTTAAGTCGAACCATAATTTGCTTTCAAATACTGCTTAAGACCAATAACAGCAACAACAACAATATCACGAACTACTTACGGGGTAAATATGTGTGTTATTAAATAATTGGTAAATATGTAAAGTATAGTTTTGTCTAAATTATGCATAACGACGACACATAAGTTTGTCTGTCTGTCTGTCAAAGTCTAGATTAGCAGCAAATGAAATTTTTGAAATCTTTATTATACACTTCGATATTTTGTGCAGTCTGTTTGGATTAAAGTCAGTTTTAAATGATAATTTCTATATATAAGTTTGAGTGTGTGTAATAGGAAAATATAACTGTACATATGTACTAACGCCTTATGTTTTTGTTCAAGAGGAATGCGAGAAGTTATATTTATGTATATATATGTTTGTGCGATTGTAAATAACTTTAAATTGTAATGTAAATGAATGTATATATTTGGCAAAATATTCATTTTGTATGACATCCTAAAATTATGCTAATTTATTTTTGCAAACAACAATTTTAATTATTCAATACAATTGAGAGAGAGACAAGGAGCTAGGGAGAGATAGAGAGCTGGATAATAATTGTAGATATAAATAGAAAATTTATTAAAAGTTTTATTTTAATAAATTATGGTAATTGAAGTTTGCATTTGGAATAGAATGTAGACAGGAGAATTTAAAATCATCAATATCAAATAATAAACTTATATTGAATACATATTTGTCAATGTAAATATTTGATACATTGGCTGGCTGGCTACTACATATATTTCTGACCTCTTAAACATTAAGTTTAGAAGCTGAGCCGAACTTTTTTTATACGTTTCACCAGAAGAAGGGCATCAAAATATCGAACATCGTTTGGAGTCTTAGACTAATGAAAATGTTCTGACCGGAAATTGAAATACCAAATTACTGACACATAGGTTGGAAAATGTTGCTAGACCCTTCGAAATATTTAAAAATGTGCAGAACTCATTAACCAATATTGAAAATGTTTTACCAAGATGTCTATTACACCGAGGATGCCTGATATGAATTTTCATACTCATATTGATTGGACAAAATAACTAAAATGGACGAAATAATTACAACACACGAAAATTCAAAATCTTCAATTCAATTAATTATTAATCTGATCTTAGTTTAATTCATAAATTTGTATGTTTTCATTTAAGCTTCGTTAAATTGCCATTGCATAGTTTTCGGCGTGCACTGCAGTTCATACTTATATTTTTGTATAAATTGCTGTGAACGCCGAAAACTATGCAATGCTTGTAGTTCTCCATGCCAGCCAACAACTATAACTAACCTTCTATTTAGATGACAATTTATTATTCCATTAGATTTACTTTTTTGCTCATGAAAATTAAATGCATTAGCTTCAGTAGTATATGTTGGATGTTTTGCTTTCAGCCATAACACCATAATTATACCAATTTATTTAAAGGACTTTACAAAATGTTATCACCACACAGCATTTGTTACAATTTCCGCCAGTGCTTGTGAAATATTATTATTACTAATATTTTGTTGTTTTGTTTACCAGCTTATATTTTATGCAACTTAGCAAAATTTCTTCTATTCAGCTGTGTAGCAGATTTTCAACACTTTACATTTTTGTATTTAAAATATAAACCCTAAAAGTTGGCAATAATATTGGTGTAATTGTATGCCTACTAAAAAGAATCGATTTGTTAATCGAGCTGTTTAGACTAGTATTAAAATTATATAAATTTGATTTGTCAGATGTTATATCTATACGATGTTATGTATTTCCAGATGTTCTATATTTTCATAATTTTGATAGGAATTGATTCACATTAGGTCAAAAAATGAATAAAAAAAATTTTCGATCATCTGCCATTTTTTTCGTAGGCAATTATTTTAAATTGTAACGTATTTTAATGCATACTTTAAGGATAAGTAGTTATCGTCACTAAATCCTTTTTGGCTACACGGAACACCCTTGAAACTTTTATTAAAAAACGTTTCATTTAAATATTGTTAAATTTTTTATTGCACACATTGTTAAATAATTCCAAATAGTTGAATTTTTTGTTATTGTTTTGGTTTTAATATCGATGCAATAGAACAACATGCTATCTTTTTTGGAGTCACTACTGTCGATTTAGTCACGTACAAAATTTGTGTGTGTTGTCCATTTCTAAAACGTTGTTGCGAATTGCTATTAATATGAAATAACAAAATTTAGATTAAATCGAAATTGAAATCTTCGAAAATTGTAGGGATTTTGTTGAAAGAAAAAGGGGTTGTTTTAATATTTTTAATAAAAATATTGAAGTTCTATAAAATTTAAAACCAGTAAGCGCAGCAGTGTAATTGGAGGGACCGATTATGTTAATGTCCAATTGCAGTTGTGTATGCAATTTGGCATTAACATTCTGAAGAACTAGACTAAGATCTACAGGTACATTTTCGCTAAAATTATTCGATGTTTGCACCTCTAATAATACTAAAAATTTTTTGTTAGCGAATGTGGGAATTATTAAAACATGTCAAAATATATTTTTTTTCACGGAAAACTGCATACGCCAGAAGAGCTAATCTACCTACACACCAAATCCACAATTTTAGTACAATTTAGTACCTTTGTTCTCTTATAGTACTTATTTTAAAAACTGTCTCCATATCTCAACACTACCCACCAATTTTGGCCGCAACAAAAATTTAGCTCTGTACTAAATTTTATACCACATTATCATGATTCGAGCTCTATATGTGCTCCCAAATCGAAATTTTAATTTTACCAAATTTAGTACACATTAACCCTTTGAACCTCAAAAGTTTCTGCGAAACCATAGAACGATTTTCAATGCACAGATTTAATGTAACTATCCTAAATTGGATATGAACAATTTTACAAAAACATTGAATTTTTAGATTTTCCTTTTGATATCTCTTGTCTATTTTCAGGTCATGACATATGTAATACATACATTAGGTTGGGGGAAAATAAATTCATTAGGCCGGTCGTCGAAAATGTCGACAAAATCTGAATAATGATCGAAGTCGACCATAAAGCTGTTTTAAACCATTTACAGAAATCTGGATTCAAAATGAAGCTCGATGTTTGGGTGCCACACCAATTAACAGGTTCTGCTATGCATTTGGTGGGACTAGAAGGGGATTATTTATTATGAGCTACTTCCATATGACCATACGCTAAATTCTGATCTCTACATCCAACAACTGGACCGTTTGAAGATAGCAATTAACCAGAAACAGCCAGAATTGGCCAACAGGAGAGGTGTCGAGTTCCACCAGGACAACGCTAGGTGACCCGCCAGAAGTTTTAATGAATCCGCAATACAGTCCGGACTTGGCACCAAGCGATTATCATATTTTTCTTGCATTGCAAAATTTCTTTAATGATAAGAAACTGGTATGTAGGAAGGATTGTGGAAATCGACTACTAGAGTTTTTTTTTGCAAATAGAGAGCAGGACTTCTATGAGTTACCTTTAAAATGACAACAAATCATACAACAAAACGGTGCATATTTGGCCCAATTAGGGCATTCCGAAGCATATCCCATTCTTACATCGAGAACAACGATCTTAACTCCAAATTTCAGGATTCCAGGCCTATCAGTTCCCCCAAAATTCATTCATTTAGTACACATAAGTACGAATTGCCGAAACTACTTAAGGCGCGTAAAAGCTATAGTCTAGCTTATATCGTACAATACGAAATTAAATCCAATCAATATCTTTTAAATTAGTTAATATTCATAATAATGTATAATATTGCAATGATAATAAATATTACTATAATTTACAACAAAAAAAATATGAAAATATTGACCGAAAAATTGTCACAGAAGTCATGGCAGCAGTGAAATGTCTATGTATGCGAAAAGAAATAACAGCTCATAAATCTACTTAATTTCAATTTAATACTAGTCTAAACAGT